CAGCCATCTAATTCATTCCGCCAGACGTCTTCCGTTCTATAAATTCTCTGCTATGATTTTAAATTTTCGGGTGCCAGTCGAATCGAAACTGAAATGGGTATTAATATTACTAATACCCATCATTCGTATATTCCTCGTTTAAGTGATTCGCATATTTCCATTCTATCTCTTACTGCTATTTGAAAATTCATTCACATGCACCACAAGCAACTTTATAAGCTTTTCCATATTCCAGAGTTATCGCATAACCGTCTTTCATGAAATCAATGGAAATGTCCATACATATCAGCTGTGGTGGAATTAAGACCACTGTCACGTGTTCGTTGAAGTTAATTACTTCTAACTTATGTTGGTAATTTCAATCATTTAGAAAACAGAAAGATCGAGCGAAGAAATATTTACTTTTCAATTAGATCCTCATCTTTAGCTCTACTCTAATATATATAGCATTTTAATTACAATACAACAGTTTGCCAATCAAGTGGCGATAAGTTTGTTAACCATAATTAAAGTGTTAATGGGTTAATAGTTAACGAAGAAAATCAATACAGAGTTAAAAGGTGGAAATGGATAGAATAAATTAATTTTACAAGTATAACACGTAAATTAAAGATAAAGTGGTCAAAATAAATAGAGATAAAATAAATAATTTAGACAAATATAATTTTATAGGTTTAGGGGGATGACGCAGTCCTGTTTATCCATTCTTGTGACGATGGCAACGGTAGGGAAAGTGGCTGTACAAATTTCTTCTGAACTCACAGGTTTGGCTTCTTCAGGTGAATTTCTATTCCTTCAACTGTCTGTAGAAGACGAACTCGTAGAGCAAAATTAAGATACGTCGGAATGCGATAAATAATTTTAAATGCAGTATTAACATCAACCTTATGCCCACTATCTACAAGGTGTGCTAAAATAGAGCTACGAATAGATCTTGTTCGTCCCTTGCTTAACCATGCTGAATGGTGTTCGGAATTACGATGATGAACCTGCCTAATTGTACATCCAATGTAGCTGGCTCCGCGGCTGCAGTCAAAATGACAGATACACATAGAAGAGGCGAATTTAGGTAGTTTATCCTTATTTCTCGAACATAAAATAGGTGTGGTTGTAAAGAGACAACGTACCTCTGCTGCATAATAAGCTCTTTTAACTGCATTCTTCAGGCGCTGTGTTATTAATTCGCTGATGTTGTCACCGAGGAACTGCAATTTTATGAACATTGGTTTTTTCGGGACTGTGGCCATACTGACTCTCCTTGGAGCTGAATTTATATTTTTCTCAATGAATTTATCTGGATAGCCATTTTTCTAAGTAATTCTCTAATAATCTTAAGCTCCTCATTGAGGCAGTCGTCTGAACAGATTAACCTAGCTCTATGAGCCAGACACTTCACGAGGTTGCGTTTATATTTCAAAGGTACAAAACTCAAAAAATGACCTGTTGTTGTAGGCTTCCTATGCACACTTCTTCTTAGTGTGCCATCTTCTCTCCTTACCATGAAGACGTCTAGGAATGAGATACTGTCATTACTTTCTTTCTCTATGGTAAAATTTATTGCTGAATGTGCATCATTAAACTTGTCAAGGGTGTTCATTGCATCATTCTCGTAATTCATAACCAGAAATGTCTCATCCATATATCGACAGTAGAAATCCAAGTCATTATTTACTTCTTTCAGTGGTCCATTCTCTAACTTAGCGAGGAAAAAATCAGCTAGGATTGGACCTAATGGGGAACCCATAGCCACACCATCAATTTGTCTGTAATATTCCTTATTGAATAAGAAATGAACATTCATTGCACATCTTAAAATAAGTTCCTTCAAGGTGGATACAGAAATGCCTATGTCTATGTTTCGTGTAGTAATCTCCTCACATACAAAATCCACTGTTTCTATTAACGGTACATTGGTGAACAAGGAGGATACATCAAAAGATATCATAAACTTGTCCCTCACATTAAGATCTGCTATTTTTTCCACAAATTCAAAACTGCCGTTTACGCTATGTTTTACCACTTCATTATCCAGAGGCTTTAGGGGATTCACTAACCATTTCGCTGTTGCGTGATATGGGGAATTACGCATGTCCAACACTGGTCGAAGTGACAAACCGATTTTATGCACTTTTGGTAGTCCATATAGTCTTGGCGTAACCGTGCCAGTAGGCTTTAACGATTCATATAAACCGTCCATTATGCTACTTTGTTGTTTAAGTCTTTTTAGTGACTCAATTAGTTGTTTCTCACCTTTTTCTTATGGATCAACGCAAGATGTAATTTTTTGAAATTTACGATGATCACTGAGTATTCCATTCATCTTATCTATGTATTCAGTTTTATTCATCATGACTACTCCAGAGCCTTTATCAGGTTTCGAAATTATTATATCTTCATTATTTCGCAGCTTCTCTAAGGCTTCCCTGTGTTTCTTGGTCAATGAGCTATTTAGTTTTCGTTTACTATTCATATATTTATAACAACAGTCGACTAGAGTTGATTTAAGACTTTCAACTGCCTCAGCTGACGAGGGTGTCAAGCCTTCAGTCTCTGCAAAGAAGTTTTCGAACTGAACTTGCATATCCATCTTGTTAATTCGAACATGATTTTCTTCGTTAACTATTAACCCATTAACACTTTAATTATGGTTAACAAACTTATCGCCACTTGATTGGCAAACTGTTGTATTGTAATTAAAATGCTATATATATTAGAGTAGAGCTAAAGATGAGGATCTAATTGAAAAGTAAATATTTCTTCGCTCGATCTTTCTGTTTTCTAAATTTCAATCATGCTGTGTGACTTTACCAAAAAGTTTTCATCTCGTTCATACAGTTCCATTTTCGTACAATTTTGAATTTATGGTGACAATTTGGCTTCATTTTTAATTTGACTGTCGAGCTATTCAATACAGTGCATGTTTACTAACCCTGGTACTTCTGCCAGCATAAACTTGATATTTACTCTACATTACAATGATATACTCTTGACATTCACTGACTGTGTAAGCTGTACTTCTCCATGAAATGTTTTAATGAATTACCTCCCAAGTTATAATAATAATACTATATTCTCACTTTATATGCATGAGGGACGCCAGTTTATAGGCATCACCAATATAATAAGTGATATATACACGGAGTAAGCATATTTACAATTTTTCACTTACACAGGATATGTAAAGTTATGTACTGCAAACAGCATCGTCCGTGAAAGGTCTTGCTGGAAGTCAAAGACGAATATCTAATCTCCGGATAGAAAGCTTACAAAATTCTTCTTTCTAACAGCCAATAATTAACCCTCATTTGATTCCCGTACATAAACCGTGGATACCAAGCCTGCAAAAGCACCTATTGCTGCTACTAAGACAGACTGTTACTGAAGGAATTAATTTACGCCTGTCTGAATGAACATTGGATGTTTAACCTATAGTGTTGTATTAGAGAGAATCAGTCTATACTGTTCATTGGTTCAGCGAATTAGCCGGGCGTTGTAATCCACCAGATCTACAAAATATATAACATTTACAAGTTGTTCCTGTTCAAATCCAAGCTGATAGACATCATCCATTGATAAGGTTTGATACAGTTCACCAGTCACCTGAATGTTTCCCTTCATCCGTACAGATATGCCATCCAGGAAATTCGCTTGTCACATTCTGATATAGAAAAGGTAAATCCTTCTGCCTGATTATGTATATACTCTCCCAAGGTTGATAAATATATCGATGAAATGATTTCGAAATGCGACAAATATAACTCAGAGTTAAAATACCAGGTGAAGTCAGAACAATACTCTACTTCCTGGCATGCATGCCGACTTTTGCTGCACACCTGATACTTGGTGTGCCAACACATAATACATGTTCCCAGGATAAATTTATTATGCATAATAAGGTCAGATTCAACCGCATCTCAGCTAGTTCAGTTGTTGTATCTCTTGTTTTCTGGATTTTACCGGCAGTTTTTACATAGTATATTTGTAAGAAACCATCTGACCACTTATTCAACAGCCAAAATGGATGAAATGATGATACCCCAGTTAGAGATTTTATAATACGCAGAGAAGGAGATGTTGAAACGAACCTTGGGTTGTTCTTCAGTATTAGACCGTGTTACATGGAAACCCGAACCCTCATTTGCTGCCAAAATAATCATCATTTCGGAATCCTCTGAGACAGAAATAGGGGATGGGAACAAAAATTGGCTACAGAAGTGTGAAAATAGGTACCAAGTTAAGTATTCACCACCATGCGGAGTTATCTAATAGGTATCCTTCAGCTAAACGAGTCGACTTAAACGGTGAGGGTCAGCATCCAATGTTCACTGATGATTGCTGTGGTCAACAATTTTGGAAAATCATTTACCGCTGCAGTGATGAGAAAAAGGGATAATAATGTTTGGGAATAATTTAGCGCTCTGCTCCACTTCGCAGCTGGTTGTGAACATCAATCACGAAGTAAAACTGCAAACGAGATTTGAATTGCCTCCTATTAGCACGATATCTACGAGTGGTTGTTTGACGGTCTGTGACACTGAATTCAAAGTGCGAAGACTACTGGGGTATCCATTCTTTGACCCTCGTGCTTCTTTCCCCTCCCTCATACTGTATACTGCACCCAAATGGAACGTGAAGGCCAAAAACTAAACCAGTGATATTTATTACGGAAAAACATTTAAGTTTATTAGAGCATGCACACAGTGAAAAAAGGAATATAAAAAATTTCTAATGACTACATTAAAGCAGTAAATGTGAGGCTAGATTCACTATTCACAGTGAACTTGTCTCAGTTAGATTCAAGTAAAAATTATGCAGGCCTGAAAATTGTTCGTAAACATCAGTTTAAATGTAAATGAGACAGAGACAAAAATAAATTTCAAAGTCACGCAAAAATCCAGGACTATTTTTGATCATCAGAAAGAAAGAACTAATAATTTGAGCTACCCGTTCTTTTTATCGGTACAGTACGGATACTCTGTTGTTTTAACTCGTTTCTATTGGTCACACAGAGTACCCGTTTTATTAAAATGAGAATGCAATGATGCATTTAGAAGTTGAACCAGTTATTCTAAGAAACTATGAAATCATGAAGCGTTTAGGGAAGGGGGTTAGTAAAATTAGGTCTTACTGTCTTGTGTAGGCCTATGGAATCGTCTGGAAGGCTCGGAATAGGAAAACACGCAAAACGGTTGCATTGAAAAAGATATTTGATGCCTTTCGAAATCAAACAGATGCTCAGGTATGCGCCATGTTCTTTTAAAGAAAGAATTTTTCAAGCGGACGTTTCGTGAAATTTCTTTCCTACAAGAATTTTCTCAGCATCCAAACATTATTCGACTACTTAATGTTATAAGAGCGGAAAATGATAAAGATATATACTTGGTGTTTGAATATATGGGTAAAACAAATTCATTTATTTTATTAAAATAGAAACTGATCTTCATAACTGCATCAAGAAGGGAGGTATGTTAAAAGATATACATAGAGTGTTTATCTTTTATCAACTGCTTCGTGCAGTTAAATACATCCACTCTGGGAACGTGATACACCGTGATTTAAAGGTAAGACATTTGGACTTTTCATTTTAATATGGATCGTAGTCTGTTAACCCACTGGCATTTTGTTGCGTTGATGAATGGGTTATTTATTTACAGTAGTTCAACCATAGATTCGACTACCTTTTTGCGACTAGTAGTGAATGTGTACATCCATTGCCTTACTAATCGGTTGTTCATTTTGTTGCGGTATTAATTTTTTGTGGGGAACACTGTGGGTCTTGTTTCTTACTAATGAGTATGTCCATAATTATTCACATTTGAAGACGTTTTCACTCACCTTGAACTAAAAACCAAACAATCTTAATGTTGTACGGTGGAAGAAATTTACAGTTTTTTGGGAGGAACCGTAACACTCACCTACAGCTTAAGCTGAGTCATTTGTCTCTGTATTCACAGATATAACCTTCAGTATATGCAATGCTAGTGAGTAGCATTTATGTTGTGTGGCTCTGCAGTATATATTTCCTCTACTAAATATGCTATTTATTAATGTCCTGAGGTTATTTGTTCACATATGTCTGTCTTATGCTTTGTTTTAACATATTTAAAGTCATTGTATATGTCTTCGTTCGTCATTTTATTAAAACACGACTAACTGTACTTTGCTCGAAGCAAAAGTCTCATTTTACCATATTAAATTCTAGTAGCTAGAGACAGTTCAAAATACTTGTTTCATATTTGGAGCGTAGAACTACTATTTTAATTTCATATTCCCTGATGTATTATATGTGTTATATTCCTGACACCCGAACTATTTCATCATAGATGCAGAAAGCCTTGTAGTACAGCAAAGATCTCGTAGAAGATTAGCAGGCATGTTTGCTATGATTCCTTTTTGGATGTTATAAAAACGTAGGGAATGACACTTAAACAATTTTTGGTATGCAACCACAAGTTATTCCGTGCATTAATTTCTAAGTTATTTCCAACCAGTCAATTTTCTAAGTAGTTTTTTATGTAATACTGCTACTGTTGTTTAGGCTTGTTTCAAGTAAAATGTTAAACGAATTAACACCTGCACAAGTTAAAATTCAGAAGTTAGATTTATGGAAACTCTAAATAAGCACTGAGTTTTAGGGATAATCAAGCTAACTCCAGTTAAGCAATTTGATATATTGTTTTTTAACACTTCGTGGTTCATAAATTACTACTCTGTTCACACTTATATTAGAAAGACCTTGTTATCTTACAATGACTCATTATGCGGCATATATTTACCTTTGATTCTCATTTTATTTAAGTCTCCTGACTTGTTTTTACGCATATGTCGTTTTTGCAAGTCTTTGGTTCAAAATAATGCGAAATTCATTGTTAGAATGGACATATGATTTTCCACTACTGACATTAATTAGTCTTATTTATCTGTTTTTAGTTTAGCACCTCCATAAGTATTCCTCCAGCAAATTCTGCTCGCTCGACATATATAGCCTAGTATTTCTATAGGTTTGTTCGGAAAACTGACAGTGAGCTGATTGAGAATCAGTGAATATGGAGTGGCTCCGTCATTATCAAATTTATTTTATATAAGCGGAAATGTTTGAAGTTACACAAAGTGTGGACTACGTTATCTGGGAAAACACGTTTGGCTACCACTTGAGTCACATGGGATGCAGTTAGCATATTAACACATATTTAAATTATTTACTATTTCGAATAAAACCGTGACAGAGTCATTACTTCAAGTTATTTTCAGCTATTAATATCTACCTGAATCATTATCCTGAATGCTATAAGTAAGGTTACAATAATTTTCAACACATGAACTAATCAGTACACACCACTACTACGTTCGCCAGTCCCGTAAGACTATCAACTACACCTAGTATATAAGAACTTGTAAAACTTACTGCTTGTTCAGAACTAATATGGTGAAGTGAGACTTAAAGCTGTTTTGGATCCTTAAAAGTGGATTACAGTAGATCGGTGTACATTAGTAACATCCTGGCTTATTATACTCTTGACAAATTTATTCACCTTTCAGTCCAGGCATTAGAGATTGCGAATTTTCCAATATAATTCAACCAGTAAATCTAAATATTGTATATCATATTATTTTATATTTAATGAATCTTCTCCTGATAAACAATGTATAACTTATAGCAACCACAGATCAATCAAAGAGCAATCGGTATATACATATATGAGGGTAAATACTATTACTCATAAATTTCCAAGGCTATGAGTTATGAGTAGGTTAGAAAACCATCAGAAAAACACTGATCTGGGAGTTCGCTTGAAACTTCATTATTTCAAGTCGTCACATTTTTTAACTGAACAAAAATAAAAATTCAGCAGAAATACTAACGTGTAAAGGGTTGAATAAGGGGTAGATAGTTTTATACATATATCAAGGGTAGATAGTTGCTCTACTGTAGTAAGACGCTTATAACTTCGGTCTTATTGGAGAGCAAATACTTCTGGCCAAGTGTATTTAACTTCAGGTTAGTAGCTCCAGTTTTAGAGCTCTAGCATCTTAACAGTTTTGTTGGAGAAACTCTTACCTTTTATATTAATGTTTTTACTTGCAGTTAGCCACTTAGTGGACTGTTGTGATGTCTTAGTTTATTTCTCTTGAACATCCTTTCAGTTGTACACTACCGCTACACTTCAGACTGATATATTCACCATATACCGCACAACTTCAAAATTAGTGATAGTTTAAAACGAGTTCATAACATAAGACTTTATTAGTGTATCGTTTAGTAGAAATGGGCGTCGAGGTCCCATAATAAGATCATTATATGCACTACATGTTCACTTTGGGATGTTAAACAGCTTGTGACAATAAGTTGGTACGTTTTTAACTAAAGATATCAGAAGAAAGTGCTGTCAAAGATATAAAGCAGTTTTCATTAGAAGTTAGTACCATATGAGAATCCTGTTACTATCACTCCCACTACCCCGTGTCTTTAGACAGAAACAGTGATAAAAACTTTCAGTGGCAACCAATTTATACAACAAAATGGTTTTTTGATAAATTTCTTAATGGAATTATTCAAAATCCGATCGATTTGCACAGTTATTAATTACCCTAAGCATCTCAATATATTTATTCATAAGCTCACTTACATATATTAACCCATTTTAATTCCTTCATTTCCCAATTTATTAGTGTTGAAAATGTTTTAATAATATCTCTCTAGTATTCATTTATTTTTTTAAAGTCAAATACCCCTTAGTCCATGATTTACTTTCATGGTAACATTGACAAAAGTGAAATCCTATCCCTAACGTTTATGGAGAAATTCAAATGCAACAAAAGTTTTTCAGGCCAATAGGGAAAATGGTTTTAAACTAAAATAAGTGGTTTTTACTCCATAAGCAATGTGCTAGGACTTTATTTTCTCAATTAAAAAAGTGATGAATAAAACCGGGTTCGAACCCCGGTGGATGCCTACTGATGAAGAGTCCCAAACTAGGACAAAACATCTGTCCAGTACTCCCAGGTTTTCCAATGGTCCTCTAACTAATATCGCCTCATGATGAAATCCTGTAACCAATCAAATCCCTACAAACCAACACTTAAATATTTTTTTTGGACATAACTGATGAATGAAGTAGATTATCATATTTACGGTACCATACATGTTAATTTTTTGAAGTGTGTTTTGAGCGCCTGTTGTTTTTTCATAATAATAGAAGTTCTAAGTACGGTAAGCTTTAGGAAAACACTAGTTAACTCTTTAGACTCATCATGGAAACGGGTGGGAGAAGGCAAATCATAAGCGAGACTATTTCTGAGAAAAATGGCTCCTTAATTAGCTCTCAGGATAAACGCCTTGAACGCTGGAAAGAACACTTTGAGGAACAATTTAACTTGGCTACAGCCACACTGAACCTCCCGCCATCCAGCACACACCCGAATGGGATATAGACACTGGTCCGCCGTCTGTAAGCGAGGTCACAAAAGCTATCTGTAATTTGAAACGAGGCAAAGCAGCAGGACCCGACGGAATTATTCCGGAGGTGTTTAAACATGGGGGTGACATACTAGTATGTAGATTAACTAAGGTACGAGGCAACGTCTGGGAATAAGAGACGGTTCCATCAGACTGAGGTAAGTCACTTATTATACCGATATTCAAGAAGGGAAACAAGTCCTCATGTGATAATCATAAGGGGATCAGCCTAACGAACATAGTTTCTAAAACCCTAGGCTCAGTAATCATGCACAGACTAAGCAGAACTCCAGAGGAACAAACGAGGGAAAATCAAGCAGGCTTTAGACCAGGTAGATCATATCTTCACTCTCCGACAGATCCTAGAACATAGACACACTTTTCGGTGTCCAACAATTGCCATATTTCTTGACTTGAAGGCGGCCTTCGACTCCGTGTATCGAAAGGTAATATGGCAATGTCTGACTGTGAAGGGAGTGCCAAGAAAGTACATTGCACTAATAAATTCACTCTATTCAAACTCATGTAGTCGTGTAAGGGCTTATGGGGAATTGTCATCTGAATTGATAACAACCAGTGGTGTCCGACAGGGATGTCCACTTTCCCCATTCCTGTTTAATTTCATCATAGATATGCTGATGGAAGTATCCTTAACTGAACGTAACGACTTAGGAATCGACTTGTTACCAGGGAATAAGTCTTATGGACTTCGAATATGCAGATGACATAGTCCTGTTAGAGGAGGATGCTGACAAAATGCAGAGTCTTCTGAACACCTTGAGCAGCAATCTTCGTATGTTTAGCATGCGATTCGCCCCTGTAAAATGTAAGATGCTACTACAGGACTGAACTACGTCAACTCCTAGCTTAGTGATAGGGAGTGAAGTGATAGAACATGTTGACCACTTCACCTATTTGGGAAGTTGTATCAGCACCAACGGACTGATTGGTGACGAAATCTCAGCACGGATCCAAAAAGCTCGAGCTGCTTTCGCTGACTTACACCACCTCTGGCGTAGGCGTGACATCCGGCTATCAACCAAGGGACGTGTGTACTGCTCATCAGTTCACTCTGTCCTTCTCTATAGCTCTGAAACATGGCCA